CCCACACACACACCTGCTCCACCATCCCACTTCGGCCAATGCCCGCCATGTTCCACACATGCCCCCTGGTGGTCAGCGCATGTCATAGTGACTGGTTGGTTGTTCAGTTGTTCCCGATGTTCCACCGTTTGGTCTATTTGCATATTAGCCTTTTATTATATAGGATATTTTAGGGCATGAAATGGTATTTTGAATATCTTTTCTTTTAGAGGTGTAATCTGAAATAGTTATGGATAAAATGTATGATACCTGAAATTTGCTTCAAAATAATGTGGGAGAAGTTAAGAAATGGGTAAGTGTGGTTAAGAAATGGATGGGAATGGGAAAGGAGTTCATTGTAATTGATACATAATCAGTTCTATATTATACATACATGGTATGTGAGAGCAGAAATACATGTATTTTTTGTTTGTTTTCCCCGGGCTCACTGTAATGAACTTGAAATCCAAACTGAATGTGCCAGATGAAGAGTGACTATAGAATGGGTGTGTTCAGAGGTGAGAGAAGCTAGTCCATTCCTCAGAGGTCAAGGGAAGTCCTGCTTCACCCTAAAGACTGATAAGGCCTCTACAATTTAGCCATGTCTTTTTACCCAGCAGTCAGAACTTGAAGGGTTAAAAACGATGACTGGTACCACTCCCTTGGCCTACTTTCCCTGCCTGATGAGAATGGGTTTCCCTGGTTGTCCACACCGTTGAGGGAAGTAGGAACCACGGCCTCTCCCTGGGTTCTATTCAATTGAGTTTAGTGCATGGTGCTTGGAATTGTGCTGCCAGCACGTTCTCATCTGTGTTCACTGAGCTGTGTGGCCTCTCTCTCCGCTGAGACTCGGGGAGGTGGAATACCTTTTGTGATCGCAGATGGCCAATAAACGGTGGAAGTGGGACTCACACCCAAGTCCTCTGGTTTCGAGCCCTGGCTGCTTTCCACTGAACAAGATTGTCCTCCCAGGCATCAGGGTCCCTCTCCTTAGAGACGCACTGAAGGCACCAGTCCAGGGTTGCAAATAATAGTCGTTGTTACGTGATTGCAAATAATAATTCCTGACCTTGGAAGTTCACCCCATGAACGCACTCCGAAGGCGGACTCACACATTGTTACGGGAGGAACTGAGGAGCTCCCGTTTGTTATGTGGTTGCAAATAATAGTAATTGATACTGTGTGGCATTCTACATGCATGAATTTATTTAACCCTCTTGCTCTCATAAGGAAGATCTCAACTTAATTCCCATTTTACAGATAGGAAGTGAGAAACCAAGATTTAAACCCAAGTGTGGTCTGTCCTCAAAACTTCAACCTTTTTTTTTCTTTTCTACTTTTCCCTACTTAGTTGCATGAAAGTTTTTTTCAGAATTCACCCACATAGAAGCCTGGAAATGACAAGTAAGAAGGCCTACACCATCAGTGCCCTGAAAGAATGCCTATCTCCACAGCTTGGAACTGCTTGTTTTTTTAGTTACGGCATTTACATAGCATGTAAGATGTGCCAGGCCACTGCTAACCACTTCACAAATATCAATTCATAAATATCCACCAGAGCGAGGTAGTTAGGCGCTGTTTTTATTATTCCTATCCTACCAATGGGGAAACTGAGGCACTTGCTAACACCACAGAGCTAATAAAAGTCCGTTTCAACCCAGGCAGCCTTGCTCCTGAGTGTGCTTTTGACGACATTGCCTTCACCCCATGCCCTGTCCCTCTCTACAGCCTGTCTGGGCACACACCGACGAAGGAGTGGTCTTGCCCGACTTTCATTCTTAACTCCAAATACTAAAGACCAAAGTGCCTACTATTGGCCAGAGCAGTGCCTGAAAGGTAGTAATAGGTTCTGTCGAACTTACACTTTAAGGCATGTTGTGTGAAATTACTCTCTGTACATGAGTCAGAAATGGGTGTGAGGACAGACTGTATATATACCTCCTTGAGCGCTATACTAATAAGAGAGAAAATATTTACTTTTAATGGCATAAATCACCTACAGCTCTTGGCACATAGAAGATCTCAATATACAGTAGCTATTAATATCCTTATGAGTCCTTCTGAGCTGCCCATTTCTCTCCTGCCCCATCATGGCCCCCTGGCGCAGGCGCACGGCCTCTGCTGCAGCAGCATTCCCGCTGGCCTCCATCTCCACAGGGCACACCTTTGCCTCCTTTCCTCCACTGAGTCTGTGATAGGTCCTCTAGCCTTCTGCCGGGAGGATTATCCTGCCTGGTCCTGTTGAGCCACGGCATAGCCACAGACACGCTCTGAGCAGAGGGGTGTGTCCATCCCCGATGGGATTGTGAACGCCAGGGCCTGCCTTGCCATGCTCCTGTGTTTCCACCCAGCACTGGTCCAGATGGCAGCTGCTTTTCACCCTGCGTCCTAGAATCAGGAGATTCTGTGTGAAAGCCTCAGACATGCAACATAAGATGTAGACTGTTATTGCTGTAGGCTGCTGAGCTTTTTAGACTTGTTTGTGTCACAGCATTGATCTAGCCTAATCTGACTGATACACGTTTCATGATGCTCTTAGGGGTAAGACAAAAGTCCCTAATATACTGCAAAGTCCTGCAATGCCTTGACCTAAATGTCAAGCTTCATCTTGTATCATATTTCCTCTCCTTTCTCCTCTTCATTCAAATAGGCCTTCTTCCCGGCCCTCACAGCTGGCAAGCTCCATTCTGCTACAGGCTCTTTGTGCAGGCTGTTCCCTCTGCTCAGAGCATTCTCCTCCCCACCCCCAAGCACCCCATTCTGACCATTTGCCTGGTTAATTTCTATCTGGCCTCCTGGTCTCCCTGGGCTTTTACGGCAATGCGCATCCTTTACACTCATCACAGCTCCATGCGGGTCTTCGCTGCTGTGGTTATTTGAATAGTATTGCTCACTAGACCCGCGGTCGCCACCCGGTGGTCCGTGGATCACTGGTGGTCCATGAGGTCCAAAAGGTCGGCAACCGCTGCACTAGACTGTATACTTCACAAGAAGAGCTTCCCAGTCTTTATTTACCTACTATCCCTAGCCTTGGCATAGTTTTGGACACATTATAGATACTCAAAAATATTTATTAAATAAATAATTCAGTCAATATATTATAGTGATTGTAGGATGGAATTTAGAGCCCGACTTCTTAGATGAGAAGCCCAACTGTCATTTATTCATTATTTGAATAAATTATTCAATTTCTCTCTGCCTTAGTTTCCTCATCTGTAAAATGGGAATAAAAATAGTGCCCCTCTCATCAGGTGGTTGTGAAGATTAAATGGATTAAGATATTTGTGCCATTGACTCATCATCTCTGGCATCCAAGCCCATCCTTTTATACCCTGTCCTGTGGGGCTAGTAGTTTTCTCACTGTGTTGTCCAGACTTCCTTGCCAGGGGCTACAGTTAGATCTGGCCAGTAAGAGGCACTGGCAGGAGCGCTGGGGGAGGGAGAAGGGAGAGAAGGGAACCCTTTCTGGTTTCAGCTGCTGTCTGCCACATGCCAGCAGCAGAGGGTGGACGTAACAGCTTCCGGCTCCTTTCAGCCCTCCCAGCGCCCACGCGCCTGTCCCCTCAGGACTAATCCTGGAGGCTGCGTCCCACTCCTCAGTCCTAGCACCCGCTGCCCCACATCCTCCACAGGGTTCAGTACCGGCCGTGTGGTGCCCCCACCCTCATGGGGACCCCTCTCAGCAAAGATCCAAGTACCAGCTGTGTGGGGCTCCTCTTGGGAGTTCCTAGGTCCAGGTAACCCCACCTTTCTCTTTTGTTCCCCCAGCTGTATCCTACAGTTACTCATTCCTGACTCCTTACATGGCATCTTAGCACTCAGAACAATATCAGGCACATACTAAGCACTATGCGAGTATAAAGTCCTGTATTTGTCCAAGTAGGTGAAAGAACCAACATTATTGCCCATCAGAGCTCTGGGAAGGGTATCATGTGCCTGACATCCATCAAGGATGACACAAACTCCACGGTGTAGAAAGACCAGTCTTCCGGGGGAACCTCGATCCACACCCATAACTGGCACTCAGATACCACCACCCAGGCATGACTGAAAGCAAATGATGACACAGTTTCCATAGCATTAGCAATTTTTTATTTTTCCTTTTTTGTTGCATAGGAAATGCAGTACTTGCTTCCAGTAATTGTATTGTAATGTGAGAAGGTGGTAGCACTAATGGTTGAATACAAGAGTTAATCTAATCCACACCAGCTCAAAAACCTGTGGAGATTTAGTTGAATAAGAATGGACGCCCACAGTGATTCTCAACCAATTACAAATTTTCACAGAACACAGTAAAACTAAAAGGCTAACTATGAAAGTCAATACAAGTAATCTAGAGGCACAGGGGGCCCGGCTCATAAAAACAAATGTCAAGCTAAGTTATTAACACGGGAGTGTTCAGTTTCACAACGGATCTCTTATCATTGGAAGTGTTCCACCCCCCACTCCCCCCAATTTGAAATGTAAAACCGAGATATCTTGAATGGACAGATTTCCAAGGGTGGTGGAAAAGTCCCCAGTGAACTCTGTTCCGGGTTAGAGGTCATGGCTGTAGGGGAAGGGGGAGTGTGTGTCTGCCTTTGAAAGTCTTCCTTGCGGACCTCCTAGAACCTGATGAAGCTCTGGCCCTAGGGCTAGTTAGCATCTCAGCGATGCCATCTGAGAAGAGGGCAGAAGCAAGAAGCTGGCAGCTCTCAAATCTCCATCCCCAAGGAGCCAGTGGCCTTGCGGACCATGGGTTGAGATGTTTTTTATTTAAAGTGCTAATTTATAGACTCCTACTGAAATAATAGTAAAAATAACAAATAGAATCAAAGGGAAAACAAAAACTTTTGTTATTTTGAGAAGTGGAGCATCAAAACAGCAGGAAAAACAGCCTGATTTTTTGGACATTATTGTCCTCAGGGATTAAAAATAGAAAAGTTCACACAGTAGGACTTGGTGATGACACATTTTTGAAATTAGTTTTTTTTTAATTAAACAGCATAGGAGTCCACATGTGAAACCCGTGCTGCCTGGCACACACTGCCACCCCTTCTGCTTGGGTCTAGGTGTCACCCTCATCTTCCTGGGCGTTTCTGGTATCTGCTCCCCACTCTCCTGTCCCCCTCATAGCCCTTTGGGGCATAAAACACAGGTGGGTACTCATTTAGGAAAAAAATGAGATAAAATTTATTTAATTTGGAAAATACTTTCAAATTGAGACGAAAAAAGTCTATTTTAAAAATCCCGTGTTAATAGCAAATGTCTTTTTCTTATGAATCGGGCCCAAAGTTTGTACAGTTTTATTTTTGAAGAAAATATTGCAACTGTGCATAAAACTAAATAGCCAAGTGATTTCTTAAAGAATTTTTTTTCGTTTTTTTTTTTCCTTTTCGTATGAGGAAGTCTGGTGTGATGACGGATCAAGCATGGGTACCTGGCTGAGCACTGTCCACTAAGAAAACGCTCGGGTGAGCGGAGCTTCGGCGGCGGGCAAGGAGAACGCCCCTCTCCTGGAAATGTCCGCAAGAGGGTGTTTGCAGCAGTTCTTGAAATTCAGAAACCGTCGTTTTTAGACAAAAGTCTTGCCAGGGCCTGATTTCTGAAATCAAACACCCATGCCTGTCCCCTAGGAAAGAAAAAGAAAACAAAAAACGAAAACAAAAACACAAGTAATACTGAATTTAAGTAAATGTATACCTCCAAAATACTGAAAACAGTCGAAATCAAGAAAAGACAGAATTTGCGTTCTCAGTGAAATACCTTTAAACCTAGCTGACAAGAACCAAGTCAGAAAAAAAAAAGACTAACATAACTTTGAGTAATATTCATACAGTTCACTAAGCATTATGGAATAGCATGCATTAATATTGTACGGGTATTTTACATCACCTATACCAGAAGGTCCTGACTGACTGACAGCGAAGGCTACCGGTGTAGAAAAATCTTACTTCAGAAGAGCAATATAATACAGATTTCACAGGCACTACATTTTAATATATCAGGTATTATGCTGGTTTTCTTATAATTCTTTCTGTCCTAAAGCTGGCATTATAACAATGACCAAAAAGGCAAGGATTGAAGTAAACGGAAAGTAGATACCAAAGTTGATATAGTTCTTTTTTTTTTTTCAGACAGATTAGTGCATAGTTGTCATGCAGATAAACACTGCTATGCATTTTACACTGTTGGAAAGCAGAGTGAATTGAGCCCAAGTTGTCACATTGGTGTAAATCATTTTGTCAGCCTGTAATAGCACCATGTAATGGATTTGCATGAAACATTAAATTGATTTCAGAATTGGTGACACAGAATTCACTACAGTTAAGTGCTATGGAATAGCTTCAATGTTACCTGCTATATATCAAAGCAATTTTCATCCCACTGCTTTTTTTTTTTCATTGGGAAAAATGAAAGGAAAACAGACATGACACTAATTAGACGAATGCACAGCCTTGGACGTGGAGAAGGCAGAGTGGGTTGGCTGTCAAATGGTAAATACATGCATTGACTTCAGGACGAACTTGGCCTCGGGAGCCGATGGGAATGAAAGCTCTGCCCGTGGGCAGGGCCGCTTTCTGAGACTGAGACCGGCCAAGGACGGGTCTGGGAGGGGGGTGAGGTGCCACTGAAGCTCTCCTTACGTGACCATGTCAGTGTGTTTGCAATTTGTTCTATGGGAGGCCTGCTACCAGAAAAAAAAGAGAGAGAAATGAAGGAAAGAGACAGAGATATAGAAAGAGAGAGAGAAACCACCACCACCACCACCACTACCACCAGTATGGACGACAAAGTATTTCCAGAGACATGATGCAAAGTACATTAAATGACATTCTCAGAAGCCCTCCCCCCAGAGAATCCCAAGGGAGAAATGCTTTTCTTAATCCAGATTTCCTCAGTACTTTCTGACACTGACTACAGGGTGCAAGGCCTGTGGGGATGAGCTTGAAAGGGCAGGAGCAACTTCCCCAGGGGATTTGCAGATGCCCGGGGGCGGGTCCCTGCTCACTGGACTGTCCGAGTGGAGGGCACAGGTGTTGGGGCAGATGCCCAGCAGCCCGAGCCTGACTGAGGGGCGGGTGGGGGTGGGGAGAAGCTGGTACTAAATAGCTGTTCATGCCAGTGTGTGAAGAAATGGAAAAGTGAGTTCAGATCTCAAAGGAAAGAAAAAGCCTCGGGGATGGCAGAGTGGCGCGAGGGATCAGAAAAGGCGCATTTTTGTGGCAGGGGGAGGGGCCAGAAAAACAAGTAGGTAGAAAACTATTCGGATTTAGTGTTTGTGCCTCTGACTTCAGTTCCCAAAGGGGGAAAAAAAGGAGAGTGACTTGAGGAAGTTATCTTTGCCAATATTGTTAATGCCATGTGACGGAAGAGAAAACATTGAAATATGTCTCTGAATGGAGGGCGGGGCCTTCCAATGCCGACAGCCCTCCATCTGTCTGTCTGTCTGTCTGTCAGTCTACACACCCGGTCCCATGAGCCCCACGCCTTCCTCAAAGGTCTTTCTGGGCTTCTACTCTAACAAGGTAAACACGCGGACGGTGGGTGTTGCTTCTTTCCTGCTTGATCACCACTGAACTACAGTTTCCTGCTGCTTTCTGGACAATGAAAGGAACAAAAATGTAACTTAGTGTATTTAATACTTAACCCCTGTTCATTTTCACCCTAGACTGCCTCCCTAATGTTTTAAAGCCTTTAAAACATTTTCTTCCTGCAAATCTGTTCAGAGTTCCCTAATTTTAGCTTCATCAAACTTAATACAACAAAATACCTTCAAAAAATACAGCATACCTGTAACGTCCATTTACAATGGTTTTTCAGTAGACCTATACTTCTCAAGCATAGGAATATGCTATACCATTGAGAGAAAAAAAATAACTGTATTTAAATACTTACAACAAAAAGGAAACAGGAAAGTTTTAAACTTAAATCCAGTTCCCAAAGGGGGCGGGGTGGGGGAGAAAGAAAGCAATTCTATGAACGCTGCCTTTATAATGAACAATTGGAAGTTTCACTAGGCTAATTTGACAGAAATTTTTCCTCATTTAAACAACATTACAAAAGTCCTGCATTATAAAATAGGGTAGAATAAATCAGTGTAATCAATAAAACTATACAACAATACAAATTACATTATCTTCTGAGTGGGCAGTTTATTCTCTCTCTTTGCAGTCATGACTACAACATGCTCACTAAAAACAACTAAAACTGCCCAAACTATTGCTTAGTTTGTTTTGTTTTTAAAAAAAGGGTGCAATTTTATTGTATATACAACCAATTTACTGGTAATACCTTGGCTTATTGCAAGGTTCTGACAAAATGTTTGTCTAGGCTTTTTCCCTTCACTGTGAAGCACTGAAAGCTGCTATTTTTTCTTTTTTTTTCCTTTTTTCTTTTTTTTAGTGCACATATGTCATAATAAAGTAATGCCCAGCTAAGTGCTATAGGGGGAAGGCAAAGTATGCTGGCTGGCTATAGGAAGTGACACCATATACTGACAACCACACCATACAACAGCGCCAAACGACTATTCAACCACTTATCAGACACGTATGAAAATCCAAAATGTTTTATTTTATTTTTTTTTCCTTAAATAGAGATAACCAGTAAACAATTGTCAGAACTTGGAAGTTTAAAAACGTGCATATAAAAATGGGCATTATATACTTTTTATTGAATGTGGATTGACTGCAGTCTGCTAAGAAAAATGGGGTGTGGGAGCTGAAGAAAAAGGAAGTTGTCTTTTTTTTTTAAGGCTTGCTTGTGAAAGGAACAGTTGTAAAAACAAAATTGCTTGAAGCAGGGTCAGCTTAGTGCTTCACAGTTTGACTGCTTCTCTAAGAGGAGCCCTTCCTGCGCACGTGCATTCAAAAATCACAACAAAAGTACAAAGACAAACACCCAAAACACACTGCGTCAAGTGCAGCACCGACTTTGGTCAAATAAAAAAAATAAAAGAAAAATTAATCATCGCTAAGCTTTTCTACACGATATAAGCAGGTATTGCATATTTTCATATATCTGGGGTTGGGGGAAATAAAGGAAGACTCCAAATAAATTGTAAAATGCAGCAACATCCAAAATACTGATATTCTAAGCATCTACAGATCTCAGAATAGCACTGCCACTGACCACAGAGGACAATAAAGACTACTCCTATCTGCGGAACGACTAACTCTCTATTTAGTTCTAGATGTTGAAACTGACAATGGCTGACATAAAAGTCACATTTACAAAAAGTGTCTCCAAATGCTTGACTAGGGAAAACCCCCTTTCAATAGAGGAGCATGTGCAACAATTCCACAAATAATCGCTATCCAGGGCAAGGCACATTGATATGGAATTTTTGTTTTCGTGCAAATTAAGGAAAAAAAACAAAACAAAACAACATTGTTCTGGGGGGGAAAGATGAGGAGCAAAGTGTCTTCCCAAGAATTTCAGTTACTTGATTGTATAGGACAGTAGTAGAACCCTTCTGAAGGGCTGGAAAACATAGTTTAAAGGCAAGTGCCTAGAGTAGGGATTACAATATTGTGTCTTAATGCACTCTACTTTATCCTACATTAACTATATAAAAATTAGTTACTAACACTAGAACATGCAGAGACTTTCTCTGATCAGCAGGGCTTGCCAACCAGAACGTATATATATGTATAGTATAGGAAATCTTCTGGAAGTTGCATGGGAAGCAAAGGGGTGCTTCACTGTCTGGTAGAAAAATCACTTGCACTTTTTTTTTGTTATTATTTTTTTTGTCTTTTTTTGTGTGTTTTTTTACATAAGATACAGGACATTTGGGGGTGCAAACTTTTTTTTCCCTAACAAGTACCCTTGATCTGAGTGGGCACCAGCATTTGTGTCAGTATTGGTTTCATTATTATTATGATTTTTCCCATAGCCCAGTTCAGGGGCGCAAAGGTCTTTAAAATTTGTGGACAATCTCTGGTACAATGAAGTGTCTGATAACTGATAAATCCTATGTTGCCGGATACATGTAAAAATTTTCAGAATTGGCATAATCCATTATAGTGACTTCTAGCTTATGAAATTAACAGATACCATGATTTCATTTTACTTATGTGCTTTGATAACAGAAAATAATTAATTAGCATTTAATGTAGTTAACATATTGTGGTAAAAGCACCATTAGATTTGTTTTTTTGTTTTTTTTTTTAAATTTTCCTTCAGTTTTTAAAGGGATACAAGTTTAACAATAAAAAACATAAAAAGCAAAAATAGCTCCCCTTTTTCTTGCAAGGCTGTTTTTTACCCCAATAATTTAGAGTCCTGGGGTGGAAGGACTTGAAAAACAAAAATAGAATTTTCAACAATCTCTATCTTACAAAGATATTTAGCTATCCAATGAAATTGCACTTTACTCAATTCAAAATTCGATTGTTTTGATTGATTCCTGTCAGTTTCTGTCAAAACAGACCATCTTCCCCATTTCCATATGAATTTGTGTGTCATTGTTGAAATTGTTGAAAAAATGTTGTTGTTTTTTAACGTAAGTGCAGCATTTCAAAACTTTTACAAAACTGAATAGTAGTAGTAGTTTGCCGTTTTCGGAATTGTTCTGCAACGTGAGTGGGTTCACTGTCCTTGAGGGCCATGTTATAGATTGAACTGCTGACTGCCGAACCAAACCAAGCTAACAGAAAAAGGAAAAAAGGAACATAACTGCATTTTCTTTTTCCAATATGTTACAGAAAAACATTGCCCTTTGACTGTCCCGTAAGTTATATATTGCAGATCTCAGCTACTACAAAAGATTTAGTTTTCCATGTGCCTCCTGATTGCTCGCGGAGGCTCACACCTGTGTGGGTAAATTCATGGAATACTGTGAAACGGCCAGGCTCCGTAAGGAAAGTGTGTTACAATGGAAGTCAGTGAGCAAGGGTAGACCTCCTCTAGCCACATTACCTGATGCTCACGCCACCATGAAAACACTTCATATGTTACAAAGCCCAGCCATTTCCAGCACCATATGAGAAAATTACAACAGTCCCAAAAGTAGTTAAAAAAAAATCCCAAAAGGTTATGGCCTTTGCTGTTTGACCATAATGCTCGCTGTTTCCATGTACAAGTTGATTTGATTCTCCCCTTCCCCTGACAGTGAAGTTGTAACCGCGCTGGGTTGAGGATGCGTCCATGTTACAGAGTTGAGAAGGGGTCAGGTGGTCTGTCTGGTGGATGGTGGGACACTTCGACTTTTATCCCAGGTACCAGGACTGGAAGAGAAAAGGAAAAGAGCAATTAGAGGTTCAATGTAGAAAATAATATATTTACAAGTTGTCCTTCCAACTGTGAAATCAGGATCTGTAAGAGATAAAGGGGGGATTCATGGAAAAAGTAAAGGAGCCACAAACAGTAGTAAATCTTGAGACACTGAAACTGATCTTACTCCTCTAAAATTGAAATTCAGTGTCTCCATTGGGGTTTGCTAACATTCAGAGTGTGTCCTACAAAATAAAGTATTTATGTCCACTTGAAATACACATATGGTTTTATAGTCTGGTGAGGACAGCTACACAAGGGCAGGAAACTGGATCACCTTGTTTTTCATTGGATCCTCAGTGCCTGCAATAGAAGGTTTTCAATAAAGAAAAGTTGATCAAATGAAGAATCGGTGAGGGGAGTGGTTTCATGTGGTGATGAATGTCTCCTTTGATGATTTTCACAGCATTTATTCAATGAGATGTAGGCACCGAAGATGTTATTGCTGCATTCTCTTAAGAGGCACAGATGATCAACGGTGATATAAGAATAATGAACTCCTTTATGCACTCTATTATCTTTGCAGCAGCATCTACAACAGCCAACATATGGAAGCAACCCAAATGCCTATCAACAGACTCATAGGTTAAAAAAAAAAGCTATGTTACATATATTTAATGGAATACTACTCAGCCATAAAAAAGAATGAAATCTTAGCACTTGAGAGGCATGGATGGACCTAGAGGGTATTATACTCAGTGAAATAAGTCAGTCAGAGAAAGACAAATACCATATGATTTCACTTCATGTGGAATCTAAAGAACAAAATAAATAAACAAAATTGAAACAGACTCACAGACACAGAGTGCAGACTGGTGATTGTCAGAGGGGAGAAGGACTGGGTGAAAAAGGTGAAGGGAGTAAGAAATACAAATTGGCAGTTAGAAAACAATCATGGGGATGTAAAATAAAGCAAAGGGAATCTAGTCGACAATACTGTGATAATTATGTATGGTGCAGGTGGGTCCTGGAAATATTGATGGGGAATACTTTGTAAAGTAGATGATTACCTAACCACTCTGATGTATACCTGGGACTAATATATATATATATATCCTATATAATAAAGAGGTAATATGCAAATTGACCATCACTCCAACACACAAGATGGCCGCCCCCATGTGGACACAAGATGGCCAGCAGGGGAGGGCAGTTGGGGAGGGCAGTTGGGAGAGACCAGGCCTGCAGGGGAGGGCAGTTGGGGGCGACCAGGCCTGCAGGGGAGGACAGTTATGGGTGACCAGGCTGGCAAGGGAGGGCAGTTAGGGGTGACCAGGCCTGCAGGGAGGGCAATTGGGGGGGGACCCAGGCCAGCAGAGGAGGGCAGTTGGGGGTGACCAGGCCTGCAGGGGAGGGCAGTTAGGGGGAATTGGGCCGGCAGTGGAGCTGTTAGGCATCAATCAGGCTGGCAGGCAGAAGCGGTTAGGTGCAATCAGGCAGGCAGGCAGGCGAGTGGTTGGGAGCCAGCAGTCCTGGATTGTGAGAGGAATGTCCGACTAACCGTTTAGGCCCGATCCTGGGCCTAAACGGGCAGTCGGACATCCCTCAAGGGTCCCAGATTGGAGAGGGTGCAGACTGAGCTGAGGGACAACCCCCACTCCCGGTGCATGAAATTCATGCACCGGGCCTCTAGTATCAAATAAAGCTGGTTGTATATTTATCCAGATAGATGATAGATAGATAGATAGATAGATAGATAGATAGATAGATAGATAGATGGATAGATGGATAAATTGCTTTGATGATGCTCATTTCAATTATGCTTCCAAAAGGCAGACACTTGCAGGAGCTGCCCCCTGGTGGTCAGTGCACTCCCATAGTCAACCTCCCGTGGCCGGCCAACCTCCCGCATTCCCTACTCCCCCCCCCCAAAGCGAGATGGCCCCAATCGGCCCCGGTCACCGGCCAGGCCGAGGGACCCCACCCATGCACGAATTCATGCACTGGGCCTCTAGTACAAAATAATACTGAAAGTAAACTGTAAATGAAAAAATTTTAAAAATAGTGATATAAGAATAAGTGGAGGCAAAGTGGAAAAAATGCTATACTGAGAGTCCTGGGTGGTTTTGGACAAGTCACAGCATCTCTCTTATACTCAGTTTCCTTCTATGTGCATGAGGTAGATTTGATGATGTGAAATACTCCTTCCTGCTCAGCATGTCTAAAACAATGGCTTCAAAAATGACATATAATAATCAAAACTTCACCCTATTAGTTACTGGGATGTGCCAAGGGAATGCATAACTCGCATTCATATTTTGTTCATTCAACATTTATTTAGAGCCTTCCCTATGCCTGCTGGGCCCAGTTACCATTTTCTCTCATAAATCTTAGGTGGTTAGTTTGGGGCAATAGTCTGGTTATACCTCCCTTTATATGTTGGCATAGCTTTCTCTGTAAGCTCAACAAAGTGACCAATTACAGTTTAATATCAGAGTCAGTTTCTCAAGTGAAATAAAAAAGTACATGGCTTTTGCCAACTTTTCTCTAGAGATACCCTGGTCAAATTCACCACATTTATCATTATTCACAGAAACGTCATCAACTTCTAGCGAAAGTGAATGCTTCTAAAACCTTTGAGTTGACAGGATCAAGAAAGGGTTACATTGGGGTTGATCCGGTCAGATGGAGGCTCATTCGTATCCAAGAGATTCAATTAGGTAAAGTGAGGACTCGTTTGATCCCCAGGATAAATGGCAAAATGATAGCTACGTGGAGGTTGGTATAAGATTTCCTGGTCACACAAGTCACTTTTGATTTCCAGAGCACTTGAAAAAACCTAAACCCGAACCGAAAAGCCACTCATCCTGTATACTTTGAGATGTTATTCTCTGACCACATGCTTTGAGGAAGACAATAAGGCCTCTTGTGTCCTGAAAGGAAATCATCCTGGCAAATGCACACGGCCTAAATCTAGCTGGACAAAAGAAAGGCGAGGGAGAGAGGGAGCAGAGCCACGCAGACTCCAAACTGTCTTTTTAGCAGGCTCTCCTAGGAGCTGCCTCCCAGCCACTTTAGAGCCGAGCCCTCTCTTCAACAGAACAGTGTCCAACTTTGGGTGCCACAAATAATGCTCACAATTTCTGTTCGCACACTTTCTCAGTCAGTTGTGAAATTCCAGACTTTGACACAGTGTTGGCAGTTCTGGAAGCCAACGCCTGGGACCCGGTGAGTCAGCAGGGGGAGCAGTTTTCCACACCACAGTTTCTGGATGCAACCTCAGCGCACTACAAAAATCTGCAGTGCCTCTGCACTTCTCTTAAAAAGCAAAGCAGGGGGAAAAAAGTTTTCTTCACACATCTTACTATTCAGTGTGCCTTGCCGACAAGGTTACCCCAGAGCAGCTCTGTAATCCTTCACTGAAATAGGCTTTATTGATTGCTCTGGTCTATTGTTCTCTTTTCAAGTCCCCCAAGTTCAAGTTCATCCTGGTGTTACATCATGTCTGGTTGCTAAGAGCAACCAGACAGACCCAGACGTGACTATCATTAGCAAGAAACCCTCTGCTCTCCTCCCACCAACCTTCCAGTGGCTCTGACGTAGCAGGCCCACTGCAAACACATTGAAGTATTTATTCTGCCTAATTTATGACCTACACAGCAAGCAGGACCCCCACTCCAAAAACCAACACCGTTGTATATTTAATTAATCTGTCTTTCTCTGGCACTTGGGAAAGTTAGACAAAGGGCTAATTATTGTGTTTCGCTCTCCACACTTTTCTTTTGGGGGGTGAATATTTGCATGGGAAAGAAAACTACAAGGCCCCGCAGTGCCCCCCCCTCCCCTTTTTCTTTTTGCCCTATTGACATTTCATGAAATACTTTAGCTGCTTAAGGGAATTAGAAAAAAAAAAAGCGATGTGAATGTTACTCCTTTTGAGTTGGTATTCAGTAACACAAATCAACTCATGACATGTTTAAATTTAAATGCTAACCACACACTCTCAGAGTTACTTTAAAGGTTAGTTTTTAATCAATAGAAGTTGCTGACTCTGGGGTTTTGAGCTGCGCACTGCAGCTCTTGGGCTTTTGTCTAACGTTAAAGCTTTCAAACTTTTTTTTTTCCTTGAGATGATTTTAGCAATGATTTGCAGACACAGAAGGCTATTGTGCTCAGACCAGCAACATGTCAATAGAGGAGCGAGTTGCCCTGTGGTGGGGTGTCAATATGACTCCTGAAGGCTTGGGTTGGGGGTCTTTAATAACCCGTGAAAAAAACTTAATTAACCCTTTCAGGCCCAAACCAAAACCTATTCTTAAACTTTTTCACTCCTGTAATTTGACCATTAGTACTTATTTCAACATCACACTAATCTTCATGACAATTAACCCGCTACTTGACCAAGGCTTTCCAGAATGGGAAGGGGGCTGGGTTAGGGGAACCATACAGATAATTTTTTTTTTTTTGAAATAGGTCTCTGATTCCGATTAAATCCTTTGTTTGCAGAGATGGCAGATAAACAGTTATGATAATCATCATCATCATAAATATTCATGCATACTCCCGAATTTTCTCATGATCAGTTTGTAGCTGAAAATACCCCCAATTCTGTTATAATGAGTGTAATAGTTGCACATTTATAAGCCACCCAATTTCTATAAACCTCCATGATTGGAAAAAGCCATTTTCCCTTGTGACATTTTCTTGTAAAATTCATTATGCAAGCACTGCAAGGTTCAAAACATTCCTTGAAGAACAATTCTGAGCACTTTCTTCTTGGGTCATACAAGAAAAATATGAAAGACATTGGAGATTGTTAAATTGTTGGGGTTGAGTAGCAAACCACTAGGAAAATGTTGCCACATTAAACAAAATTCATTTATGGAGAGTAAAAAAATCGTCCTCAGCTGTTTACTGACATCAGCTTCGGTTTCCTATGGGTTCTGCCTTCATACTTTTTATAGCCCCTCATCTAACCTACTGTATCCAGACGAACTACAAAGGAATCTCTGTC